TCTTTCCCTCCCACCACTGACACCACGTACATTTATCTTACACGATGACAGATTTGTCGTTGTCGTCCATCGGTGAGCACCCCTGTCCCAACCCAACTGACTTGACCCACCAACAGATGACTACACGACAACTACAACGGCACAACGCAACGACGACAAAAGCCGGCGACGACACAACAGCGATGGACGACAATGACAGATGACGATGACAGACGACGACGATAGACGACGACAACTGCACTACGACGATAGGAGACGACAACCACACTACGAGGAAAGGTGACGAACACACGACAATAGCATGACGATGACTGCATGCAACGACGATTACACGCAGCAACACACGGTAACACCACTAGCGGCGACGACCCACCACCACTCCCAATCAACGCCAACGATGGCCAGCGCCACACCCCACCCATGCCAACAATGGCCCACACCAACGCCAACAACGGCCCACCACCATGGCCCACCAGCACCCCCATGAACGGCGAGCACAGCTCACCACCAGCACCCACGACGGCCCACCACCCCACCAACGCTGACAATGGCCCACCACAACACCCACGAACGGCGACGACGACCCACCACGCTCAGTGACAACGGCCGAGCACCCCGTCCCACCAATGGTGAACACGGCCCCACCCACAACGACGACGACTCACCAACACCCTCCCGAACGGCTGCAACGGCCCACCAACTGCACGAGCAGATTCAATTGTGCAACGATGGCTCAGGTGATTGCGGCTCAAGTCATAATTCCGGTGTGGTTAACAAAGAAGCTGCCATCGTTTCTAGGCGTGTTGGTGACGCCAAGGATCGGGTTCAAATGGAGTTTGATGGCCGAACTGGGGATACCAACAGTGACTTATCAGCCTACGTACATATTAGTAGTTGTTTGATAGTTAGAACTCGCAATGCAATTTTCTATTTTCGTGATCCCCAGTGCCAAAATAAGCATTGTTAGTAGATCAGGTAGCTGCTGTAGGCAGGAACTACTGAGTGCTACCTTCGAGTATGGGGGGAAACTGAGATGCTACCAAGATACTACTGGTATCTACTGCAGTACAAGGGAAGACTACTGGTGTCTACTACAATGCAAGGGAGAACTACCGAAGCAACATATGGGGGGACTTGTATACCAGGCTACTATAAATACTGTGGCTATTTAGAACTACATAATCAAGTTATTTTTCCCTGATGGAGATACTAAGCTTACCATGAAGGACGATGACACTCAGCTCGGGTCGTGCATCCACTAATGGCCGATGCCCAGAGGATAGCATTAGGTTGGTTACTTGGCAGACCTTGGGGAAACTCAACATTGCTGGACTTTGTGAGAAGTACAAGGTGCGCGCGCGCGTCTCTTGGTATCTCACCGAGCCTATGGCTGCTCCGTGCAAAAATCCTGCTGTGATTATGAAGGAGCGCCGCCCCCATCCCATTGTACGTATTTTATCACAACTTGATGTTTAATTATACTTATCTCTTCAATTTAGGTTTAAGTTGGGGCTATTGGCTTTTTTATCCTGCGAAACCATTACACATACTGTGCGAAACCATTCTTTGCGGCAAAGTCTCATATCGACGTCAAACGTGCTCATAACCGATTTCACCTTGAACTAAGGCTCCAACCGTATAGTATATGTATAGGCCTGGAGGTCTAAATATACGGATACGGTTGTATACCGTATATTTACTGTTTATATACAGTTATACAGTTTTTAGTATACAGTTTTAAAAACGGCACTAAATTTTGTAAGTTAGGTGATGACCAGCGTGTAGTTCACTCGTCTACTGCCTACTGAGTATCTACATCCATCTGACTTCCATGCTTTTGGCGAGGTAGGTTAGGCTTGTTCAGTTCAAAAAGTCCACTCCGAATCCAGACCTTCGTGAGCAGGGCTTCCTTAATTGTTTCAGCCTTGAGAGCGCTACGAAGGTCAGTACAAATGTGTCGGGACTTTGAAAACACGTGTTCAACAGAAACACTAGTCGCCGGAATGGCGAGGACATCACGCGCGATTCGAGCAAGAGTCGGAAACAATTTTTCATGCGCCTAAAATAATGATAGTAAGCAAGGATTTGAATTCAAAGACATCGAGTTGACTTACCTTCCACCAAAGTAAAGGCTTCTGTAGATCACCTCTGCCGCCATGAAACATGATATAGCGCTTTATTTCGTCCTTCAGCAGGTCTAACGGATCCGCCGCAATCTCCAAGGTCTCAGTCTCGGAGATCTGGACATCGCAAGCCTCGTCCATAAAACTAGCGCCTTTCTTGATACCCAATGAGTTTGAAACATCATTTGTCTTCAATGATGGCAATGGAGGTGACGCGTCTTCGAGGTAAGTTGTCGCAACATGCATAAGCAAAATTTCGGCCTTCGTGATCATTTCTTGTTGATCAGTCGAGTCTGACGTAGTTGCCATTTTTGCGAACCATTTTGTACGCATAGATGGGTGGAGCACTAGGATATCATTAGTATCACAAGATAATGAAGAGGATAGAGGTATGTACTCGTTCCAAGCTTGTAGAATTGGTTGTTGTCCGCCTTTGTTTTGTATTTTCGAAGCTTTGTGAGCCCGCTCTCTGCTGCTACCTGAACAGAAATTGGGAGACCGGGGTTTTTGCTGACACTTGTGAGGTGTTTCTCCATGAAAATATACAGGGGGAGGACAAAAGGAATTGTCGGTGTGGATCCCTGCGACATCTGAAGTGTCACGTCGGTGAAAACCTAGAGGGTTAACTACTCTTAGTAAGGTGGATGTGTTAATTACAGATGAAAACTTACCTTTAGTATTCCGTTCAATTGTTCAAGTAGCAACCAATCCGCTCGGCTTAACCGAACCTCATCCATCTCCCCTGATTCAATAACCCACTGATCAATTGCCTGTCCAAAAAAGATTCTCAGACATAGAGCACGTCGAGGAGAAAATAACATACCTGACTAGTGCTTGGAAGTTAGGTTAATTAACTGGAAAATAACCGAGACCAGACCAGACCTAACCGCAAAAAAACCGGACCGCAGTTAGTGGTTAGTCAATTCTGGAAATGAAATAACCGGTTATTTTGCGGTTAACTAACCGTTAAAAAACCGGTTATGACCGGTTACAACCGACCCTATTATACCCCTTCAAAACGCATCTAAAAGCATGAGAAACACTAAAAATCTGACAGAGTTATGGTCAAATCTCTATAATATTGGCTAAAATAGTAGGCTTTCAAGAATATTATTATAAAATTGTCAATTCTTCACCGAATTTAGCGTTCTTGGGCTTGTTTTAAAGCTACGACGCATGGCAATAATATTTACTGCAAGGAATATGAGAAATATACGCCATTTTAATCGATTTTCTATTTTTCCGGTCCTAACCGGTTAGTAACTGCAACTAACCGGTTTTCGTCGGTTATCTTCGGTCCAGTTAGGTTATTTTGGGTCTGGGAACGAACCCTAACCGGTCTCGGTCTCGGTTAGAGCCCCTGGGCACCCAATAACCTAACCTAACCGGACTTTCAAACACTATACCTGACACATATCAAGTGCTCGGTCAATCATGCCTTGGGTGTAGTTCCATCAAGTATGAACATCTCGCACTACCATCAGCCCAACAAGCCTCTCAGTAGTTGGGTTACCTCCATATTTAGACTGCGCAATATTGTGGAATCTACCACGACGCTGTGGAGAAGATACAATTTTTGTTGTGATAAAACGTAGCTGATTAAAGAATGTCATTTGTGATGTCATTAAAGATAGAATGCGTATAGATAACATACCCGCTTCAAAGCACTTTGGTCACAAATTGCACGTTCTTCGTTCTCGAGAACAAAGTCTTCTGTAGCTGGGATATCGAGGCCACAATCAACGCACTCAGCCTCAAGAGCCGTCTGCTCTTCATCAGCGTCAACGTCATAATGGATAGGTTCACCCTTATTGAGTTCGTAGTAGTCGTTATCATCCGGGTTGTCCGCTTCATCAATAGATGCCAAAAAGGCCTGAACGACGAGACTGACTACATGAGCCAGACAGCGGATATGCATATCTGGCGACCATGGGATTCCATAGTGAGCTAAAATGATCCGCCCAGCTGTCTCGACAAGGATGTCGTTGGCAGAGGCATTGTCAGTTGTAAGTGCTGAGAAGTAAATTTTATTTGGTAAGATTCGTGGAGTTAAGATAAGAAATGACAATAACATATCTTGTTGAGGGCCCCTCTTTCCTGAGCACCATCCGCAAATGCCTTTCCCGCATAAAGCCCTTGATGCTGTTTATCTTCCAGAGGTGTGAAGTCGACCACATAGGTGATAAGCTCCCAATCTTTGTCGATAAAAGACCCTATGGTACACGCAAATGTGTAGACCATTTGTCTTGTAGTCCACGTATCTGTAGCAAAAGCGACTTTAGACTTGACGTCCTGCAAAAAGATTGAGTTCATGAATTTAATTCAACGAAGTAAGATTAGACCATTACCGAAAATGCTCTCACAACCTTTCCGTGGAGTTCGAGAAAAATCTTTGCTAGCTGGTTGCGAACTGTGGTGTCTGAAGGAAGGGTGAACTTGATCTTGAGATACTTGAAGAGAGCGTGCAGTCCTGGGGCTTCCCCTGTCGTCCACGGCAAGCTTTCGTCAAGAATCCATGCAGAGAAAATTCGCAAAAATCCGCGTTGAGTCGCTTCGATGGCAGGGTTGAGCTCTCCTTCTTTGAGGTATTCCCGCATCATGTCGGCTCCTTTCTTGAGGTTCATCTTTTCCGAGAGTCGCTCCTTCTGCTCAATATTCTCCTCGCCTTTCTCACAGCGTTTCTTCTCACATTCTGTGACGTGGGACGCGAGGTTGTTGAGGCGTGGAAGGGTGGGTTCGGTGTCAAACGTAATGTCGTTGCCTTTGATGGTTCGAGCAACGGAGCGGACACTGGAATGACAGACACATTAGTAAGTCATCTCAGTCTCAGACCTGCTGACAGACGTACCAGGAGCAAGACCGACAGCGAAACTCCCATCAAAGATTCCCTCGTGAATCTCGGACTGCGACAGGATCATGAAAGCGTTTCATGCTTTCGTTTTCTGGACCACGGCGCGCACCCTGCTTGAGTTCTCTCTCTTCTACTCCTTTCAAAGCCGTCATCCCATCAGATTCATCACCCGAGTCAATCTCCACCAGCTTCGATGCGCCTTTTGCCTATGGGTAGCATTAATAACTACGGCGGGCATATGAAGTTGAATTTACCTTAGGTGATACTTTCTTTTTGCCCTTCTTTGTTGCTGCCTTCGCCATCGTGGATGGTTTCATAGCTGTTCCCTTCCCGGATGCCTTAGCACGCTTTTCGCGCTACATAGAAATAGATATTAGCTTGTCATTTATGATAGAGACTGAGAGATCAACGCACCATTTTTTGCCCGAGGTCTGTATTGTCGAGGACCTCATTTCCGTTCTCATCAAATGCAGGTCCGAGTGGTACCTACCACTTTTATGATAAAATTTAGGCAAGTGCCTGCACAACTTTTTGGACACTGCCCAGGTTTTTTATGAAATGAGAAATGTAGGGCAAGCATTATGAAATGTGTTTCATTCCCTCCCATAATTGTTTCATATCCATTTTATTCCTTCCCTATACCTTTTCATAACTATTTCTTTTTTGTCTGGCCATTTATTTCATTGCCCCTCAGTCCCATTTCTTTCCTGTTTCTTTGTTGCCTAGCCTTTCATTTCATTGCCTCCCCAGGGTTATTTCTTTCCTACCCAGTAATTTCTTATTGTTGCCTAGCTATTTCATTTCATAGTTGTAAATATCTTCCTGGGACTTGATTATGTAATATATGTGATGCCTTGTAAAATGTCTTTACCTTGCTTATCCCTTTGCATGGGGAGCGGCAACGCCTGCAAAATCAGCGTGACGCTTGTCCTTGTTTGGCTCCCACCAAACTTTACATCTCGGATGTATTAAGGTCTTCGCAAAGTGGTTTGTTGGATCGTTTGGATTGTAGAGGGTCCGCCCAGCACTTTCACGTCTCTTCGAAGTAGTAAAAAATGTAAATTACATGACTAGGATAAATGTTTAGTAGGCGAGTTCCATATCTGCGTCGCTATCAACATCAGAATCACTACTTGGCCTGGGGTGTGTGTAATTATTTTGTTCTAGTGTAAGCTCGGGTGAGCCCAATTGTTGTGCGGCCTTCGCAATGCGAATGAGATGGCGTTCGACAGCTTGAATTAGTGCTTGAACCTTGAGTTCCTTGTTTCCCAACCGCGCTTTGATAGGAACCTCCTTATCGAGCCGCCGAAACCATCCAATCTCCAAATCCAGACTGGCATTTGTTCCCGGTGAGGACTTGATGATTGCAATGTCAAGCCGACACACCACCTTGTCAAGCTCATTGTTGACCTTAAGGAGATGGTTATCGATTGGGAAGTGTTTCGCGTGAAAATGTCGCCAGTAACACGTCGTATTGTACGTGCGCGACGGAGGACGACAATCTAATTTATGTGCACGTGATTGTAAATCTGTCGAGAACCGCTTGTGGCTCAATCGGTACAGGTAAGGCCTCAATTTTTCGGGAAAACACAAGTGGAAGATGCGAAACGGATCGACTATTTGACAAATTCTGGAATATATGATTTTCAAAATTTAGTTCAGAGGAGACGAGAGTGCAACACCAGATTGAAACAATATATTAAACATCAGGGAAATAGATAATCCTACATACCATAAAATGATTGAAATCTCTACTTTGTTTTTATCTCAAGTGTGCTGTGGAAGGAGAGCCCGAGGACGACCACCAACAAGTCGCGCTTAGCCATTACCCGAACCGGAACAGGCGTGTGGGACAATTACGGCGGAGTTGAATTTCTCCTGATGCATTGCCGCCCCCCACTTTGCACCCTTATCATATTATGGTCTCAAATTGAAAGTTATGTAGAAATGGGGACCACACCCTCTACTAGCAAGCATAACAAATATTGCACTCATTTGACAATTAAAGCCCTGTTATTTCATATAATTAATTAAATAAGTATTGCCCTGGCAAGAATGAAATAAAAGAATGAAACCATTACCAGGCAAACATGAAATGAAATAGCTAGGCAACAATAAGAAATTGCTGGGTAGGAAAGAAATAACCCTGGGGAGGCAATGAAATGAAAGGCTAAGCAACAAAGAAACAGGAAAGAAATGGGACTGAGGGGCAATGAAATAAATGGCCAGATAAAAAAAGAAATAGTTATGAAAAGGTATAGGGAAGGAATAAAATAGATATGAAACAACTATGGGAGGGAATGAAACACATTTCATAATGCTTGCCCTACATTTCTCATTTCATAAAAAACCTAGGCAGTGTCCAAAAAGTTGTGCAGGCACTTGCCCAGACTTTTTCATAAACAATGGTTGATACTAGTGCAGGTCCAGCTTCAGGAGAAGCTGAGGCGCGCTTTTGCTTCGGGGGTTGGAAGTCTTCATCCTCATCCTCATTGTACTCCTCAACCGTCGCTGATTTCCGTTTCTTTGGCGCGGATTGGGTGGAAGATGATGCACTGTAATGAATACAGTAAGCAAATCTTTGGGTTATGACAGGCGGATACACAGAGATGACTTTAGACGTACCATAAAAATTCGAGTTCTTTAATGAGACGCTCGAGCTTGACCATTGCGGTACCAAGGCCGAAAGTGGCTGTCGCGAGGCTGGAGGTAAAATAGTTGACCACAAGATCCATCCCATACTTCCCTCGTAGAATATACTTCAGCCGCCCATTTTCATCTCGAACGTCCTCTCCAAACAGTATATCCATACGACGGTTGAAGACAAAGCTTGGAGTGAGATCGGGATCGTTGTTTTCGGGGCCTGGAACAGGGATCTTTTGAAAGATCTCATATATACGATCTTCCTGCTTAGCGAGAGGAACTGTGGTAGGAATTTTGCTTGTCAGTGTTTTGAGCAATGCAAGACGCTTCTCAAACTGCTTGAAAGCAGCTGAAGGCACCGACATGATGACTCGAGGGGAAGGGCAAAGAATATTGGAAATTTGAAAAATTTCTGACCTTTAAATCTCTTGAAAGTTGAAATTCGGAGATGATGAAACACGCGAGTCAAAAAGTCGAGCTACAAACTGCTTGCAGACTGATGTATATTAGAGGAAGAATACGGATACCACAGAGTGTTATAGAGCATAGTAGTTGAGGGAAAAAGAGGCAGAGCACGCACAAACCGTTTTTCGCGACCTGTAGTGGGAAGGTGGTGGTCAAAGTCAACATTTGATGAGTCACATTGCGTGACCAGCCGCGGTTTTATGCGGCCGAGTCAGCCACTGAGAGCCTAACTGTATAACTGTATAGTATATGTATATTTATCATATACTCGATATCCTCGAATGGCGCTATACGTATACATATACATATACAGTTAATACTGTATATATACGGTAGGTAGATAGTACGGTTGGAGCCTTACCTTGAACGCGTCGCTGAGAAAAAGCGGACGACAATGACTGTTGAAACTTTTAGGGCTGATGTCGACTGGACCCACGTACACTCCGTTCAGTCATTGCATTCGGTTCGTGTTCTTGTCGACTACATCCCAGAGCTTATGTGCATGTCCAGAGATGTTTCAGCCAGATTTCGCTCCACTCATTTTGCCAAGCATCGCATGCGTGAAGGTCAAAAAACTATGGCACAACCGTTGGGAACCCATGTGATGTTGCAGACGATGATTTGTAAGACTAACAAATTTGAATCCGATTGATTGTGTCTAGTTTTCGCTCGACATCTGTGGTATTCTGTTTTCCTTCTCACTTTCACCTGCAGACAATGCTTCAGCAACGAGAACACTCTGGCGGGTGCAGTACAGTGGGTGGGCCGTTGCTTTCTAAGCCTTTCTTGCACTTGCGCAACTCTGGGTTGAGGAGCTCGTTGTAGCAGGTGCTCTGTGAGTTTTCGTAGTAACTTACCAACAACGCGTAGTCCTGACGAACGTCAAGAGAGTTAGATCTGCAAAGGTGTGATGACCTCTTGTCGAAGACGGTCGCGGGCGTATCCGAGAGGAGGTTGTGATGGCTCTGGAAATCCGGGGCTACAACCTCTTCTACTTTCCGGGAAATCCACGGAAAGATGGATATCGGACGCTATACGTGAGAACGTAGATTGAGACTGATCTGACGCTTACTATATAATAGAAGCGTTAGCGAAGGACCTGAACTACACCACTTACTTTCTGAGGTTGGAAGCACGATAGAACGCCACTTCGAGTGTGCAGAACGCAGTGGTGGTGAGAGTAAAGAATCGATGCATTGCATGTGTAAACAACGTGTTACAAATACGAGAAGCACGTGATCTAGTGTGACTTAATTCCGAAGTGGTTTAATCAGTGGAAAGTAAATGGAAGTAATAGAAGAGATGAAAGGAATGAACATGAAGGAGTTGAATCCTTCGTTACAAAGCCCCCCTAGTTTCCGCTCGATGAAACCTCAAAATCTTCAGGCAGGAAGATGTCTCTGATGCGACGACCGTGCCAACGTACAGGGTAGGAGCTATCGATAGCGTTCTCGACGAAAGCGAAATCAGAATCCTTGGGGATAGAGCCGGGTGATGGAGCATGTTCGCCTCTGTTATTGTTCCGTAGGTACTCCCTCCATTCCCGCCTAGTAAGAGGAGCCAAGGCTCCTGATTCCAATGCACGGGCTATATTGCCCATGATCCGTTCGCAACCTTGGTTCCATTCTCCTCGCCAGTGGTTGGAGAATTCTTCCAGGAGCTCGCTGGTCGGGAACGCCCATCGGTCTTCATTAGGATTCCCGAGGGGAATATATCCATGAATGAGCTCAATTTCTTGCTTGGATAGTTGATCGTGGAACACCGGCATGTCCAGGAAAGGGGCGACCGTCACTCCGCCTCTGTGGTGAACTGTAACCTGACTGGACGGTCCGCTCATGTATTCTTCCACTAAACGACTCCCTCCATAGAAGCGCGCAATCCAACTCGTTGGCCCGCCCATCGCGATTACTGCTCTCGCGTGTGGCCGACGTAAGATGTCTGCTAGCTTCCCGAGATACTGATCCATAAAAGCGGATCCTCCCTTGCTATATGTCAACGGGCTTTCTTGGAATCCCGTGTCATATGTCCGTTTCGTGAGGCTCGCCATGTTCTGTTTCTCAAGCTGGTGGAAGTGGGGAAGGGCGTCGAAGGGTATGGCGATGAGGAACTTCATTCCTCTGCTTATGGCGAAATCCAATACCTGGCGCATACGAATTGAGGGGGACCCGCATATGGTCCAATACCTGACCCTGATTTGTGTCCTATTGTCTGGAAATAAGAGTACGCCTTCCTCAAGGAACAAGGGGTTCCATTCAGCTTCAACGGGAGATAGCCACAATGATGCCGTCCCGACGATGTTACCCTGAACGCGGAGGCGACGGATGAACTGTTCCTTCGTGGTTTCTGGTGACGACTCGTCCCTATGTTGGTAAGTAGCTCTGAACGACGGCGAGGATGATCGGGGTCTGGGATATGGACTGGATCTGTTCAAATTCTTCGACGAGGATTGACGGCGACTAGGGCCAGACGAGCTGCTTCTGCTCGAAGTATGGCCTGCTGATGACATAGCTTCAACCCAGCTCCTAGGTCTAGTAGGACGCAAGAGGTTGTTTCCTGGTAGGGGGCCATAGTCTGGAAATCCGTTCAAGTCAAACTTCTGGTTCTGAACTGGCGCGAAGAAGGATTTATGAATCTCTCGGATTTCGATGTTGCCCCTCATGGGATCCCTGTCGACGTACGCCTCAGCGAGCCCTGCTGGTTCTGCGATAGTGTCGTCGAACTGAAAAGCCTCCCATCGCCTGAAGATAACGGAAGTCCTGTTCTCGCGCCTGACAACGTGAGATCCGAAACGCCTTGCCAATTCTTTGGCTGTCTCCAAGTCGATTGGTCGGTACATCCAACCCTGGAAATCCACTACCGCGTAATGCCAATCCGCCCTAAATTCGAGGTCCGGCGAGGGTTCGTTATGAAAGACTCGGCGTTGGAAGAATTCGTCATAGTCTTTCATGACCTCGAAGTCGTTCGTAAATTCCGGCAGGTCGATGGCGAAAACCCGTTCGCTCGGTGTGGCTTTCCTGCGTTTGTCGAATGCTCGGAGTATGTAAGGGGATAGGGAGAGGAAGCGGTTGTTTGATTGGAGAGACTCGTTCCATCTGTAAAAGACTGGAACTCGGTGACGGAGTAAGTGTGGAATACTCATCTGTTTCCAGTCCCTGTCCAAATCGAGGAGGACGCCTCTCTTGGGACGGTCGTCGAGGCCTAAGTCCATGATGCTGTCGACTGTGTCCTGCGGGAGGTAGACATCCCAACCGGAAGCAGACAACGTCCACCAAGCAAGGAAACTGAGGTAGTCCAAGGCCTGTCTTTTCACGTTGGCGCCAAAGTTCTCGAGGGACCGGATTGAGTCGAAGGGCCCTTTCAGCTGCTCAAAGTCGTAAAGGCCTGGCCTTGCCGCTCTAGCTGGGAAAATAGATGACTTAGCTATGGCTACTACGTATGACTCGAACCGATGAAGGTCCTTCTCCATCTCCGATAACAACGGCGGGAAGATGGTGTATTGAGGCGAGATCGACTCTGGGTCGGACGGGGTACCTTGATCCATTTGATAGTACCATTCTGTGGCCATTCCCGAGGGCAGAGGCAGAAATGGGCGCCAGCTTGCCTCGGGATCGTACCAATCCGCGTCCAAGGCCCATTCCATCTCCAAGTTGAGTCCTGTCGGCCCTTTATCCCTGAACTCGTCCGCTACCCGCTGATTACTTTGGTAATCGACGTAAGCGGAGGCTTCCGATGGGATTTTGTCACAAGAGGCGTTGAGACCTACCCAGAGATCTTCTCCGATCGTCCTGAAATCCACCTGGGGTACGAGGCCTGTATCATCCAGTGGGAGGAAATCCATGAATCTCGGTCTGAAACGGAAATCCGAAAAAGACTCGAGGATCCTGTCAGATGGCTTAAGCGGGAAATCCGACGCTTTCGCTTGACCCGACTATGGAGTGGTAATAAAAGAAAGAGAAAGATATAAAAGATAAGAAAAATATGCTGACTAAGGAAAATCTGTGAGAACGATTAGATAATGAAAATGAGGCATAATGTTCCACTACTATAGCCGTGGAATGGCTTTAAATGCGATGCTTCTTCACAAATTATGCCTTTTCTTGTACTCGTTTAGTACAATGGAGGCGTTCCGCAGACTTCTCTGTGGTTCCCATGTGTCGAACTGTGGACCATAGCCTGCCCAACGTACTAGGAATTGGAGTGCGTTGCGCTTGCGGCGATGTCCTACGATGGTTTCCACTTCGAATTCCTCGGATCCGATCTGTGTTCTGCGCGATTCAGGCATTCGAGTGCGTTCTCCCCATTCTGGTCCTGATTCCTCGTATTTTTTTAGGTGCTCGATGTTGAAGACTGGAAAACCTGGGTATTTATCGCTCATGCGAAGACGGAAGACTTTGGGATTGATTTTTTGTGTTATTTCGAACGGACCTATCCATCGCTGCTTCAATTTCGTGCCGCTTCCTTTTGCGTCGATCCAATCAAGGGAGTGTGGATTCACGAGGACTCTGTCTCCCTTCTTGAAGTCTGGTACAGGTTTACGCCCCTTGTTATACTGTGCTGCTTGCTCATCTTGTGCTTTTGCTATAGCCCGTCTCGCGCTATCCCTGTGCATGCCCAGAGTGTCTAGGAAGTTTCGGACTTCAGGGCTCAGCGAGTAAGTAGCGGATTTGAGTGGTACCTACCACTTTTATGATAAAACCTGGGCATTTGCCTGCACAGTCTTTTCAATCCCCCCAAGTGAAATATGAAATGAAATGCCTAGGCTATTTCATTCTTGCTTTGCAGCTATTTCATTCCTACCCACCACATTTTTCATTTCTCCTTGGCAATGAAATGCATTTCATTCTTTTGCCTGTGCTTTTTCATAACTTTTTCATTCTTTGCCAACTTTATTTCTTTTCTTTTCATTCTTTGCCAGTATCATTTCATTCTTTTGCCTGCGCTTTTTCATAATTTTTTTTTCATTCTTTGCCAGTCCTATTTCATTCCATTGCCTGCACCTTTTCATAACTTATTATTTCATTGTTTGCCATGTTTAAGGTTAGGGTTGCACTTAAAAAAAATGAAACTCATTTCATTGCTTCTCTAAGCCTTTTCATAACTAGACACATTATTTGTTTGTAAATAATAAACATATGTATTCTCAAATTATTAGCTATAGTTTGACCTAATCAACCCCTGGCTTGTGATCTTTACATTTGTTTGTATTTGAGGCCATAATCTAACTTAATTGAGCAATAAACATGTAAATTGAGGCAACTAAAAGATCACATGTCTTATATTTTGATCCCATCATAACCAAACAAATACATAAGTTATGAAAAAGCACAGGCAAATGAATGAAATAAGACTGACAAAGAATGAAAAAAATTATGAAAAAGTGCAGGCAAAAGAATGAAATGATACTGGCAAAGAATGAAAAGAAAAGAAATAAAGTTGGCAAAGAATGAAAAAGTTATGAAAAAGCACAGGCAAAAGAATGAAATGCATTTCATTGCCAAGGAGAAATGAAAAATGTGGTGGGTAGGAATGAAATAGCTGCAAAGCAAGAATGAAATAGCCTAGGCATTTCATTTCATATTTCACTTGGGGGGATTGAAAAGACTGTGCAGGCAAATGCCCAGGTTTTATCATAAAAGTGGTAGGCACTAGTGCGGATTTAGCTCTTGGGCTATCCTTTGGTAATAGGAAGTCTAAGGGTGATTTAGGCTGGAAACCATACGCGAGGAAGTTCGGAGAAGCGCCTGTCGATCCGTGGACGGAATTATTATACGCGAACTCTAAGATGTGTAGCCAAGTGGCCCAGTCTGCGAGGTCATCCGATACGTAGGCTCTGAGCATGGTTGTTAAGTGTCGATTAAGAATCTCCGTCTGTCCATCGTGCTGAGGGTGATGCGCTGATGACAGGGCCATTTTCGTTTTGAGGAAACGCGCTACCCCTTTCCAAAAATCTGAAGTCCAGCGGGGATCGCGGTCTGTGATGATACTATCCGGTATCCCGAATCTACAAATGATATGTTTAACAAATAGTTCTGCAAATTCCTCGGCGGTGAGACCCGTTGTGCATGGGATGAAAGTTCCCTGTTTGGTGAGTCTATCCACTACGACGAAGATAGCATTGAAATTATTGGACCACGGCAGATTCACGATGAAGTCCATGGAGATTGACTGGTATGGACGTGAGGGTATAGGATTGGGGATCAGGAAGCCGAACTTGTTGAAATTGCCAAACTTAGTCTTCTGGCATGGATCACATGACTTGCAATACTCCAGTACGTCCGCCTTCATTCTCTTCCAATAGAATTTCTGACTTAGTGTCTGATATAGGCGCTCTGGACCTGCGTGTGCTGATTCCAGAGGGTTTTCGTGAGCTTCTCTGAGGATTAGATTTCGTTTTGACTTAGGAACGCATAGGCGAGGTTGGTAATCTTCGTCCAAGAAGAACAGCAATCCCCTTTGATCCTTCAAGAACCGACCGTCACGTTTCCAGTTCTCAATTTCCCTTTTCTCGTCGTTCCAGACTGAGCGAAAGGATTGGTCCGATTGGTATTCTTCAACCCAATCCCTGATGAAACTTGCGTCCATTTCTACATGGAGATTAGGTGCAGGATTAGAGGCCTCCCAGTATTCCTCAGCGACTGGTAGGGTGTCCAACTCGTCTCCTCTTGATGCTGACTGATTTTCGCTCACAGGGTCTTCTCCTTCGAAGTCTGCAATACCTTGTCGAGCCTCCGTGAAACAAGATGACGTCGGTCCTTCTAGGCACTCTGATATGCTCCATGCCACGAAGGTTTCCCTGTTGAAGGTTCGGTTGAGAGTGCGTTCTTGTTCCTCCGCTAGGGAGAAATCTGTCACTATACTCGGTCCCGGGTCGATTTCAGGAGAGACGTGATCAGGTGCTGCTCGAGGTAAGCGTGATAACGGATCCACATTAGAATGTACCCTCCCCGCTCTGTGTATGATTTCTAGCCCAGGCGCGTACGCAGAAAAAACTGCCCCCCAAGCAGCTAGCCGGCGGTTGGAGTTTTCGTATGTACGCGCCCATTGCAGAGCTGAATGATCCGTGACCAGTAAGATCTTTTCACCTTCGATGTAAGGCTGGAACTTGACTAGCCCTTCTTTAGCTGCCAGAGCCTCTCTCTCGGTCGTCGAGTATCGAGTCTCAGCGCCCTTAAAGGTTCTTGACCAATAACCAATGACCCGCTCTACGTGTACCACTGAAGAATCAAAGTCGTCACCCCACTTGTCGTCCGCAGGGCTGTCGGTCGTTTTAGCGCTCAACGTTGTAGTGAGCTTAGGCGGTGGTAGACCTTCCTCGTAAGCCTTCTTCAAACGATTGTACGTTCTAGTGCCTTTGAGATCTTTGACCTGGATCGGTTGTATTTGTTGTAGCGCACATCTGGCTGCTTCGTCGGACGCATCTGTGTACAGACGGTACGGTCGACCTTCTATTGGATGCCCCAGTACTGGGCCAGAGCGGAGTGCCTCCTTGGCTGCTTGAAAGGCGTATTCTTCCTCAGCCCCCCACTTCCATTTAGCGCCCTTCCGCATTAGCTGAAATAATGGGGCGCAGATGGAAGCGTAATAAGGAATGAAAGCAGAGAAATAAACGACCATGCCGAGGAATGTCTGTAGCTGGGATAATTTCTTAGGTCTCTCCAATTCTAATATGGCCTTGACTTTTTCCGAGTGAGTTGAAAGTCCTAGTCTTGACACTTTATGACCCAACAGAAGGATGGAACCATAGAACAAATGGCACTTATTAGGCGAGAGGGTAATTCCTGCTTTTTCGATGGCCTCCAGAACTTTGTCCAAGTGCGTGATGTGTTCTTCGTAAGATTTGGAGAATATCACAATGTCGTCAATGTATACGAGACAGAATAGCCATAAATAGGGCGCCAAGATGCCTTGCATTACTCGCTGAAAGATGGATGGACCGTTCCTCAAGCCGAAGGGCATTCGTCGGAACTGGAATAGCCCTCTGTGCGTCCGGAAGGCGGTTTTCTCTACGTCCTCTTCATGTAACTCCAACTGAGTGAATCCTGACAGGGCGTCTAACGATGATAAGACCTGAGCGCCCGATAGTGAGGAAAGGATCTCCGATTGTCGCGGAATTGGGAATTTGTCCGGGATCGTAACAGCGTTCAACTTCCTGTAATCGACGCAGAATCTCGGTTTCCCGTTGCGATATGCGATGACCACTGGCGCGCTCCACGGACTAATAGAAGGCTCGATTACGTCTTGCTCAAACCATTTATCCATCTGTTCGTCCATCACGCGTCTTTTTTCGGGGGAACTGCCATACATTGGAACAGCTATTGGGACCTGACCGTCGGCGGTCCTAATGTGAACCTTAGTGGGTAAATGTCCCAACCTTCCGTCGAAGCCGAATGCTTGTTGACGATTTTTAAGCATGTTCCATGCTTTCTCTTTCAGGTGGTCTGGTAGTGTACCCACATCGATCAGTTCCTCTATTTTCGCGGATGGGTAATCCGTAAGATCGGGCATAGCTGCTGTTTTAGGTCCGTATTCCTCTTCTTCCTCGGGGATCTGCTGGTTGTCCACGTTTGTCGTAGCCTTGTTCGAGCTGCCTTCCGCTTCCATTTGGGCTCCAATGACTGCTTTAATAGCTGCTGCGTGCTTGTATAGAACATCCGCACGTTCGGCAGAGTCGGGCGTCTCAAAGAAGTCCTCTGGGTCGTGTATGGAACCAATTACCTCTCCCCTTCGAATGTATCTTGGCTGATCCGTCGGGTTGGCGATAGGAACCCAGGGATTGCGGGCAGAAATCAGGGTATTAGGTACGGCGAAATAAGAGTCGTTCGCATTTGCTAACAAGCT